GTGGAGAAGCTGTAGCATACACCCAGTTATCCCTTCTCCTATCTCTACATCCATCTCTCCATCTCATCCCATTTACCCAGCCACCCGTTTGCACCTATTTGCCAGTGTTCATCCCCAATCATCCACCCATCCAGCTACCTCCATGCAGACCAGGCTGTTCCTCCAGGCAAATAGTCCACCCCAATACATCCAGCCACCCGTCTCACAACCTACCTGTCCTCCTGCAAGCTGCCTACTTATCTAGAGAGCAGAGATTTGCTGGGGAGGGCTCAGCACTGCATCTTTAACAGATAACCTTCATCCTCTTAATAAGGTTGTTTAATTCTCACTTATAGTTATCTGCCACTCAAAGTCAACTGTTTTTTTGCAGACAGGTGTAAAAACCCAGTGTCTTTAAGAAAGCAACATGATACACAGGATTGGGAAAGGACTAGCGGGGTCTTTGGGATGCATGTGGGGTTTGAGTAAGGACGTGCAGGCAAAATGATCTTATTCTGCCCGGGCTTTCCTGGGGGCTGAGAAGAGCCAAGGTTCTGTCCCAGGTAGGCTGATCCAGCCCAAGACCTTCCCAAGCTCTCTGGGTGTCTCTCTCTTAATTTCCACGGTGCCAAATCGCTGTGTCCATGTTTGATCCCAATCCATGTGCCCCAGTCAAGCTGCCAGGATGGAGCTGCACTGCAGGACCTGCTCCCTGGACTAGGGAGGGAGAGGGCTCCACCTGTGTTTCCACTCCCTTTCTGGGGTGCCAGGGATAGTGAGGATTTGGCAGGGCATAAAATGTGCCAGCTGAATCCAGTTTTTCTGAAAACGATCAACTTCATTCCATTATTAGGGTCAGACCTGGGCATTCAGCTCTTCTCATCCCACTGGAGCAGTAATCAGCCTCTTTGTCCTGCAGATATGGTCCCTTCCCCACCCTAAGGAACCTCAGAACGGGTTAATCACTGGGTGGGAGGAAGGCAGGGGATAGCCTTCCCCCAGCACCTGGCTGTCCCCTGGCAGGTAGGAAAGGGCTCCCAGGCATCCTGAGCCCCGTGCACCCCCAGGGACTGGCCACCCCCTCAAGGATCATCACCCACCGTCAGAAAAGTCTCCTAGCCAAAGCCCAAGGTGCCAGAGGGATGGACACAGCTTAGTTCAGCTCACATAAAAATTAACCTTTTGAAAAACTCAAATCAAGCCCAGCAGTTTTAATTAAAGTCATTTCCCTGGTCGGACACTGCCCAAAGAGGAGTCCAGGCTGGGCAGACCCCGCAGGATCATCCCCTGGAGCGGGGATGGGTCCCCCATTGCCTGTCCTGGAGCAGCTCAGCACCACCAGCTCCCAGGAGATTAAAGGTGTCCTGAGAACAACTTAAGTCTCACAATCAGCTCGGCCCCCGGCCGGGCGATATTAAACCATCCCCCGTAAGCCCCGTTGTCTCGGGATGATTGCAATAAACCCGCCGGCATGCGAGATTAGCGCGGTAAACCCGCCGGCGCGGCCCGGGCTCTCGGCAGACATGTGAAGACATTAGCACAGTTTGGGCTCTTTGAGACCCGCCGGCTAATCCCGGCTCTGAGATCAGCTGGAACAAAGGGCAGCTTCCGTCACATCGTCCCCTTCTCCTGGCACCAGCCCCTTCTTCTTCCACTGTCCCCGTCTTGCGTCGCCCCCCTCTCCTTGCACCAGTCCCTTCTTGCATCGCCCCTTTCTTCTTGAGTCATCCCCTTATATTGTCCCCTTCTCCTTGCGCTTTCCACTTCACCTGGCATCATTGCCCCTTTCCCTGCACCATCCCCTTAATTGTTCCCCCTCTCCTTGCATTGTCCCCCTTCTCCTTCAATTGTCCCCTTCTCTTTGCCTCATCCTTGCATCAAGTTTCACACTTGCCCAAATAAAGCCTCCACCTGGGTTCCTTCTTCCCCCAGCCCCAAGCCCAGGACAGACAAGGAGAAAATATGGTGAGCAGGAGCTGGTGCTGCCCAGGCGAGCACCCAGGTGTCCCCATTGCCACTCTTATCTAGGAGGTCCAGGGGCCCAAACATGCTGGATTTGGAACCTCTACATCTGCCTAAGCAGAGCTAAGCAATTACAATTAAAACCTGGCTAATCCCTGCTCAGCTGAGATGGCACTCCAGGTGCCCAGCCCAGCTTGCAAAGCCACCACCGACTCAGCTCTCCAGGCATGTTTTCCCAACTTTCCCAGCTCTGAAAACCCCAGAGAGCAGGATCATAGAATGGTTTGAGTTGGAAGGGACCTTAAAGATCATCTACTTCCAACTCCCCTGCCATGGGCAGGGACACCTTCCACTAGACCAAGGTGCTCAAAGGATGCCACCACGGGATGAGCTGTAGGCAGAGCAGGGTGTTACAGTGAAGATGGCACTGGCAGGAAGGAAGATGGAGACGGATGGACCATGACATGGAGGTCCTCTACAAGGATCTAGGCTTTGTGAAGGTCCTGAGCTATTTTAGAGGGCAAGGAGGTATCTGAGCACCCAGCACCTTTGGGATGAACCAGGCTATGGGACTGCTTGCGGGTGGGGGGTTCAAGCAGCCCCCATTTCCCCAGACCTCCAGGCCTTGCTCGCATGAACAAGCCCCCACTGAAACACTTGCTGCCACTGCAGGCTTGTGTTCCTCCTCCTCCTCCTCCTCCTGATGCAAAGAGGAGCCCAAGAGTTGCATAAATAATTTATTTTTGCACTGCAAAAATAGTCGGTGCCCTGTATATATTATATTAGATAGGCTCATTGCCAGCTATGATACAACCATATAATACACACGGAAACGCGGCCCCAAGGGGCGATTCAGCAGCTCTTTGCCACAGTCTGTGCAGGTGCCGTCCTGGAGCCCGGGGAAGAGGCCGTGTCCTCCTGGCCATCCTCCGACTCTGCTGGGAAGTCCTTGTCCTCCTCGCCGTGGTGGCTCTGTGAGTCGGGGCTCCTCTGCGGGGTGGTCAAACCCATTTTGGCCAGTTTGGCCTGTTGCTGTTCCAGGCTTTGTTTCCTCCACTTGATCCTTCGGTTTTGGAACCAGACTTTCACCTGAGGAAGAGGTAAAGCTTGGCTTTCAAATCGAGTTTCTCCATGGACCGTGGGGTCATGGTCTACTAAACCCCCGTGGCTCAGACACTTCACAAACCCTTAGGTGCCCGCAGCCTCAGACATCCCTTGGCTGGCCAGGACAGAGGTCCCTTGCCACACTCAGTCTCTAGCAAGATGGAAAACTGTCCCTTGCAACCCAGGAGCTGAGCCTGCATCGGCAAGCTGGGACCTGCCAGCGGTGGAGAAGGTCCAGCCTTAAGATGGACACAAGTTCAAGCCCTCCATGTGGCCATAGGACAGCCACTTTGTGACTCGGTTTCCCCATCTGTGATGCTCCGTCTTTTTAATGTAAACTATCTGCAACTGCTACCCCACATGGCTCCCGCCCCAGGCTGAGGGACACGGCCCAGGTCCCACCCGTTAGCATGCAGGTTTGGGAGCCTCCCTGGATGTTCTGGTGGAGGCAGGTGGAGATGGAGCATGGTGGGACTTACCTGCTCTTCGGTGAGGTGCAGAGAGGACGCGAGCAGGCACCTCTCCGTGCCCACCATGTACTGCTGCCGTGCAAACTCCTTCTCCAGCCGGGCCAGCTGGTCACTGGTGAAGATGGTCCGGACTCGCTTGGCTTTGCCAGTTTTGGCTTTGAAGAGGGGGAAGCAGCACTTGGAGATCAGGAAGCCTGGAGGAGAGAGAGAGACAGGAGGTCAGGGTGGAGAGGAGCCCTTGGAAGGGTCCCCTTTAGATTGGGGTCCTCCCATTGGAAAATCCTTTCTTGTAGGGGCAGAAAGGATCTTCTCATTTGGAGACGTCCCCTTTGGAGAGGCGTAAGGAGTCTCTTTGGAGGGGGTCCCCCATTTAAAGAGGTGGGAGATGGTCCTCCATTTAGAGAGGATCACCTTGGAGAAGTGAATACTGATCCCTCTTGTAGCGAGTCCCTTTGGAGGAGGTGCTCAGGAAGAGGTAGAAGGAGCTCTCCCATTTGGAGATGTCCCCCTTGAGAGAGGCCAGAGGGTCCCATTTGGGGGGGCAGAAGAGGGTCCTTGTTGGGGAGATTCCCTTGGGAGGTGACAGAGGAGGTCCCCCATTTGGGTACACGTGAATGGGAGATGTGGACAGGGGTCAATTCCCTGGCAAAGGGCCCATTGAGAGAGAGGTCTCCTACTCGGAGAGGTGGCCAAGGGCTCTTCCTTGGAGAGATGAAAGGAGGGCCCCCATTTGGGGGAATCTCGAGAGAGGTAGGCATGGGTCCCCTTGGAAGAGATCCCCTTTGGAGGGCCCCCCCTTGGAGAGGTGAACAGAAATCCCCATTTGGAGATGTCCCAATAGGACAGGTGGATTCAGGTCCCCATTTGGAGATGTCCCCATGGGAGAGGTGGATTCATGTCCCCATTTAGAGATGTCCCCATGGGAGAGGTGGATTCAGGTCCCCATTTGGAGATGTCCCCACGGGACAGGTGGATTCAGGTCCTCGCTGGAGACATCCCCTTTGGAGAGGGTCCCCTTGAAGAGGTGGAAGGAGACTGCCAGTTATAGATGTCCCCATGGGACAGGTAAATTCAGGTCCCCATTTAGAGATGTCCCCACAGGAGAGGTGGCTGTAGGTCCCCCTGGAAGAGTTTTCCTTGCGAAGGGTCCCCCCTTGGGCAACTTGACCGCATTTGGGGGTGTCCCCACGGGCGAGGCGGACGCAGGGGTGTCCCGGTACGGGGTGTCCGGGGGGGTGGCGGTACC